TGCTTTAGATTTGTTACCTCTGTAACAGTCATCAGTTTAGTGTAGAGTATTCAGGTTGATTTAAAATGCTTAAAGCTATTTTTAAAGTGATTCTTTAGGTAGTTATAAAAGAGTAAGTATGTAATGGGGGAATGGTTACAAATTCCTGCCTGGTACAGCCGGGATACTCCTCTGTGACTACCCCACCTTCCCAGGTGCCCTTGTGTAATAGGTACAAGGCTCTGCAAGTGGAAACCAAATGATGAGGAGGATGGTTCATCTGTGTTGGAAGACCCGCCAAGTCTTCAAGTTGCCCTATGTACTGTGTTGAAACTGCTTCCAGAAAGAAAGAAAGATGAGGTATTGGCATAGGAGACCTTCCAGCGAGTGGAACAGAAGGTCCAGTTTCCTGGCAAGCCCCACTTCTTGGGGAAGTCATCTGCTTCTGTGTTCTCCTTTATCCTTCTGGTTGCAGGGAACGGTGAGGGAAGAAGCAAGAAGAACCAGCAGATTGATACTTGGTGACAGCAGCTGGGGTACATGTCTCAAACAGAGAAAAGCATCTTTGCACAAGGGTGCAGTGCTCATTAAAAGAGCATTAAACTGGATTGAAAGGGAAAAGGGCTAAGCCTGGTGGCCACGCACTAGTGTTGGATGGATGGAGTGGTAGCACAATCCTTCACACTGCTCCATGATGTGTGAGTATGCTGGAGCACATTTGAAATACATACAGTACACACAGCATTAGGAACAAACTAACGGAGCTGGAAGTGAGCAAATACGAGGAGTTTTTTCATCTTTGTATCTTTTATGCCAGTAGGAAGAGCTATTTGGACATGGGTGAGGAAATTTTACCTAGTCCACAAAGAGGACTGTATTCCCAAAGACTGCTAGAAAATATACCCCTGAGTCAGAAAACTTCTGATGCCATTCACTGGACTCTCTGTCATTTAGGTAATGAAAATGACAATTGAAAAGTACTGAAAATGTTACTGATCAAATAAAACAGCTTTGTCCCTGTTTTCGAGATGTATTAGGACCATTATGTGTATAAAAAGGATATGTGGTAACACTTTCGCTAGTGCAGCATAGTGCAACACTTTAGAAGTGCAACATAGCTGCAATGTTTTCTTGCTTTATTTTTTAGAGGCCTCTTAATTGTTTTTTACCCCAAATACAGGGTTTGTGATAAAGTATGTGTTTGCATATTTCTGTAAGTTACTTGAGGTATTTTGCAGTCATCTGTTTTTACTCTTCAATACTGCAACATTTAAAAAAAAAACCCAAACACTACAATTTAATAGATTTTTTTTTTTTTAATTATTTTTACAAGTAAGACATGAAAAAAAGAATGTTAAAGAAGGAGCACAAGTTATTCTGGGGAAGACATGATTCCAGCTTCCCTAGGGGTCTCTGCTTTCTTTTTCAAATGATCATATCCTCAGCTGAGTTGCCACTGGGAACCAAGTGATACAGCCTGTTGCAACTGGGAGCTGTATTTTGCAGATTTTTGGAATTGGGAGTCCTGTGCTGCAGTAGTTTGTGAAGAGCAACCATTCAGACACTGGCAGCTTTCCACGTAGAGATAGCTATAATTTATGCTGGTTCCATTTTGGCAAGTCAGGGTCACCTGTCTTGTTTGGGTGCCGAGTTCCTGGCAGCAACCACACTTATGTTCCATCTGGTTTGCTTCAAGAGAGTACCTGTATTCCGCCAGGGGAAAAAAAATCATCTCATTAAAAAAACACAGAAGATCCCCTCAGTGATTTTTGTTTTGCGAGGGTTTGGTTTGGGGTTTTCTTTTTACATCCTCTTTTCCTCCTTCTCATGCACATTTAACAATGTGATTTTCATTACTTTTGTCTTCAATTGTGAAACCGTTCTTGCTTCTATTGAATCCTATTCAATTTGGTAGAATCATATAAACACATTAACTCTGTTGTTATTCTGTGATCAGAGAATTGTGTAGGTTGGAACAGACCTTTCAGAACATCGAGTCTAAGCATTAACCCAGCACTACCCAGTCCACCACTAAACCATGTCTCTAAGTGCCACACCTGCCTGCCTTCTAAATACTTGCAGGGATGGTGGGTGATTCAGTGGCTTCCCTGGGCAACCTGTTCCAGTGCTTGACAACCCGTTCAGTCAGTGAAGAAATATTTCCTAATATCCAATCTAAACACCTCCTAGTGCAACTTGAAGCCATTTCCTCTCATCATTTCACTTCTTACCTGGGAGAAGATATCAACCCCCGCCTCACTACACCTTCCTTTCAGGCAGTTGTAAGAGAGTGTGAACATCTCCCCTGAGCCTCCTTTTCTCCAGGTTAAACACCTCGAACTCCCTCAGCTGCTTCTAGACTTGTGCTCCAGACCCTTCCCCAGCTCTGTTGCCCTTCTCTGGACATGCTCCAGCACCTCAATGTCTTTGTTTCAGTGAGAGGCCCAGAACTGGACACAGGATTTGAGCTGTAGCCTCATTATGGCTGAGTATATTGTCCTGGTCCTGCTGGCCACACTATTTCTGATAAAGGCCAGGATGCTCTTGGTCTTCTTGGCCACCTGGGCACTGCTGACTCATGTTCAGTTGCTGTCACCAGCACCCCCAGGTCCTTTTCCACTGGGCAGCTTCCCAGCTCCTCTGCCCCAGCCTGTAGAACTGTCTGGGGTTGTTGTGACCCAAGGGCAGGATGCAGCACTAAGCCTTATTGAATCTCACACAATTATTGGTATAGATATAAAACAGCAACACTGAACCCCAGGAAACACCACTGGTGACTGTCCCCCAGCTGAAAATAACTCCATTCAACACTACTCTCTGGGCCTGATCATCCAGCCAGTTTTTGACACACTGAACAGATCATCTGTCCAAGCTAAGAGCTCCCAGCTTCTCCAGGAAAATGCTGTCAAAAGCTTTACAAAAGTCTGGGTAGACAATATCCACAGCCTTTCCCTCATCCCCTAAGTGGTTCACCCTTTCACAGGAGATCAAAGTGGTCAAGCAGCAGCTGCCTTTCCCAAACCCATCCTGGCTGGGCCTGATCCCCTGTTCACCTTGTATGTACTCCATGAAAGATAATCTACTCCATGTCCTTCCCTGGAACCAAGGTCAGGCTGACAGGCCTGTAGTTCCCTGGATCCTCTCTCCAAACTATTGTAGGTGAACATTTCATTTGCTGACCTGCAATCATTTTGGACCTCCATGGTTAACCAGACTGCTGACAAATGATTGAAAGTGGCTTTGTAAGCACTTTCTCCAGCTCCCTCAGTACCTTTGGGTGGTAAATTAACTTGACAGACCAGTATAAAGGAAGCCATAGAGCTGTTAAATTAATTTTTGGAACTTACATTGAGGAGCCAGGACAAGTTCCTTCACAATATGACAGCTCAACAGGTTCAGAAGACTCGCAGTCAGCATGGCGGATCACAGTTTCCTTGGTGTAAGGCTTGCAGTTTTTAGCTTCATAAAAAATGGGGAGGAGAGAAAATATACTTCAGTTCTCTAGTTCTGAACTAAAGGAATTGTAAACCAGTTTCATAGTGCTTGATGTCTGATTACTGAGAATCAGCAGTATGTGATGGGGTGGGTACTGTGTAATGTATATGGAGTTGTCAGATTATTATTATTTGGTTTCAGCTGTAAAGTGCCTTTGGAAGATAATGCTGGGTCCTGAGCATTGCTGGCTTGATTTGTAATATTCA